AGATGTGTATAAATATATATTATTATAATAATATAATAATAAATGAAAATCTGAAAGCACTCGTTAAAAAAGCGATGAGGTTAGTTTGTCTCCGACAAATGGGCCACCTCCACCTTAATTTTACTATTGCTGGAGTGAGGTGATCCAAATAATTTTTTCCTCACAAATTTTTACAGAGACTTCGCGTCGGCATGGTCAGATCAGGTATCTATGTCCGCTGGGATAGGGCCCAGTTGGTTACCAGCACTGACTCCGCCGCGCCTACTTAAAAATAGTAAACGAGGGCAAGCGATTCTTGAAGCTTTAGGAGCTTCCGTTTCTTTATATTAATCCGGTTGAAATGGCACACCTGTAAATATAACAGTATCAAAATTGTTGAAGTGTCTGAACCACTTTTGGCCTACTCATAATCCTAGATGTAATGATTATAATGGAAAATTTATAAGTGTGCTTCTTTTGAATATTATTTATATATAGTTATTTAGGTCCAGGAGTTAATGCTTGCAAAATGCCAACATATTCACTAGGCCTTTTAAATTTACAATCGTTTGACCAGACAAACAAGCCTACTTTCATGATGGATGGATGGATTTATTCGATGTAAACACACCAAGGATAACCCACGAAAGTCTGAAGAAGACTTATTTTCAGCGGGGTCCTTTCGGTAGTGATTTGGCAGTACACCGGGAGACAAACCCCTATTTTTTTCCAAATAGTGTACTGCATTCTTGAACGTGCACACGGGCCATAATGCACACGGGACCAACGGCTTAAACGTCTCATCCGAAAGACGGTGCGCTGTTGTAACTTGCATTTCAGCCCTAGCTGGAACACAAGGAGAGCGATGGGAATACAACCGGGACCTAGAGATAGCCAATGTTCAGCGCACACACAGTGGCTACCACCAGTTTAGCCGACTGAGCTAAGCTGCTCTCGATGATGCTCTACACTAAGTCTCGTTAGCGTTGTTTTGGTGCTAATACAAATTGCCTCTGTTTTGGTCATAAAGAAAAACCTTGCCACTTGACAGGACCCTTGGGGTTGAAAGGCAAGCATCTTCCCTTCAAACCGCAACTCCACTTCACTCATTTCTATCGGGGTAGGGGCCTGGGCTACAAAGGGGTCTAGATCCACCCCCAACAATTTGAAGAAAGCATTCTCTAATTTCCTGTATTTTGCTTAACTTCTAAATAATTACAGATAAAGAATCAATATGATGCTTACTGTATTCGTATTGTTTGTTGCTTTGAAATTAATTTCATGTAAGTATAAAATCTCTTTTTTTTAAATCAATCTACAGATAAATTGTGTTTGATTATACAACAGAAACTTGTATATTAAGTAATTATGGTTACTGGTAACTACTCATAAAGGCATTGAAAGGCTTACTGTACTGAATGCATTAATAATAGCAGATCTAGGAATTTGAAATAGAGGGAGAGACTTTCATTGATGGAGAGTCTGGACCACATCAGCCCCACCATGGTTGAGGCTGATGGCCGGAAATGGCATACTCGAACTTAAATTTGATTAATATTTCCTTTCTTTTCCCTTTTTTTAATAATTTCGAAAATTTAGGGGGGAGGGGATGGGTCGGTCATTGGTGCAGGACTATAGATGAAAACCAGGCTTAAGATAAATTCTGTTTTTTGTTGCAATACGCTAGGCGCCTGTCCCGAATCATGGCACCGATTTGAAGATAATTGCTATCATTTCAAGTATGATATTGAAGGAGCGAGCTGGGACGAAGCCCGACGATACTGCAAATACCAAGGGGCAGATATTCCAGTTATTAGCTCAGTTAGAGAAAACATCCATGTTTTCAATTACATGTAAGTATAACCATAAACCTTTAAGATGGAATTTAATTGGAGGTCCAAAACGGCGCATTAAAATGATAGTCATACAACAACCGAAAAAACTTTACCCACTGAAACAGGAAAATACCTTCACATGCCTACACTACACAACAATGATTTAGCTCTATCCATAGCCTAATTAGGTTTGAGAAGGTTCAAACTTTGGCCTATAAAACTGATTGATTTTTTTGCACTAGGTCATCGTTTGCAAGAGCACAGCACCCAACGGATATTTTGCCATCCGCATGGCTTGGGTACCAAAATACAGGTGACGGTTGGAAATGGATTGAAGCCGCAGAAACAAGCATTTTCGAAAGTGACTATTTTTTAATTTTCCATCAAGAATCCACATTTAGATATACTGTAGTACCTTGTAATGTGCCGATGTTTTAGACATTTATCTAAATTATCTGAAAAATTATTTTGGTTTGGCCTATAAATTGAGCCATCAAATGCCAAATATTATTTTGTTTAATGGGGAGGTGGAGAATTGAACTTTCTTTGAAGTAATAAGCAGAACTTACATAATAATGGAGAAATGTGGAAATAAATACTTAATTACTTGAAATACAAATCCGTGTTTAGTAGCCATATTTTAATTATGGACTTTCCTACACATCTTAGTCTGGACAGCTACTGTGAAAATACTTAATAAAAAGTGACTATAACTGATTTTTTTTTAGAAATAAAAAGTACCTTAAAATAAATATATTTGTTGATTTCAAGTAAAAATAGGCAATTTTTTTTATTGTAATTTCTACTAAAGGTGTAGAACGCGAGCGTTTTAAAATCAGTCTACTTCCTATGATTCATGCATCACTATGTAATTGAAGTTTTGCACATTTAATTCTAATCACAGTGAGACTGATTTTCACCATGTTTTGTGTTTTTAAGAGTTCCAGTATAAAATAAACGATCCAGCGGATGACGAACCTAGCACAATTTGGTTCTTTGAGGAAAAAGTGGTCTCGAATTAGAGTGGTCTCGAATTGGAGTGGTCTTGGAATTAGAAGGGTGTGGAATTGGAGCTGTCTCTTATACACATCTCAGTTTGAATTCGATAACAATTTATCGTGTATACGATAAAAAAATATTTTTAGAAATAAAATCAAATGACGTAATAATCATGGGAAAACGATAAAATCGTAGTAGTAAAAACGATGTTATTGTCTTCCCGTGATTTTTACGTCATTGGATTTGATATGTGAAATTTTTTTTATCGTATACACGATAAATCGTTATCGAATCGTGCTAGTGTGAAAACTCTTATTTCTTTTATTATCCATATGAAAAATTTCTCTTCAGCTTTTTACATTGGTCGTTATTATCATAGTGTAAACAGGCCTTAACACTGTTAAATTATATATAAATCATCAAAGAAATGTAAATACAGTATTCGAATAAATGACATAATAGTACATCTTACTTGTAGCACAGCTCTCAACGAATGTTGTCCTATAAATAAATAAATACATTGTGTAATAAAATTGATTGTTACGATATGTGAAATATTTTTATCGTATACACGATAAATCGTTATCGAATCGTGCTAGTGTAAAAACTCTTATTTCTTTTATTATCCATATGAACAATTGCTCTTTAGCTTTTTACGTTGATCGTTACTATCATACTAGTGTAAATAGGCCTTAGCACTGTTGAATTATATATAAATCATTAAAGAAATGTAAATACAGTGTTATAATAAAGGACATAACAGTAGTACAACGGCGGCGGAAGCGGGGGTGGGGGCACGGGGCCATTGTCCCCTCCACTTTTTCTACTGGGGGAGCCTGGCCCCTATTTTTGAAAGTGTTTCCAGCACCAATGAAAAACATCTTACGAACGCTGCAATGTCATTATTATTATTATCATAATAATAATAATAATATTATTATTATTATTAATATTTTAATTATTATTATTATTATTTTTTTAGAGACCTTGTTTATTTGCGCCTTATAAATTGACCTATTATTATTATAAAATATAAATTTTTTTTCACTTTCTAACAAACATTACAAGTTCCCTTTTTGAGTTGATCAACCAAATGTTGATTGACGTCTATCGCCTGCCTTCGTGAATTCTGTATTTAGGCAAAGTGGTGGATGTAGGCACTCTTTATGGAGAAACGCTCTAGTTCTCTTTATGCTAATCATGAAGATGTAAGTGTAACTGATTGGCTTAAAGTAAACCTTCAAACTAGCATAATATAACCATATTTGAACTAAATCTAATTTAACGATACTTAATTAGGCATTTTCTTAAATAAAGTTCTCTGAAGGTTAACTACAGAATTTACAATACACTGTAGTTAATGTGTTATAGGTTGTAAAAACTCAATTGAATAAAAAAAAATCGAATAGAAAAATCTTTCGCTTGACATTAGGAATTAGTCATTTGTTAAACAAAATGATAGGCTATGTCATGTGTTACATTGAACAGTGTCAGATTCAAGGGTGAGCCCAGTCAGCACGGGCCCACAACCTCAAAACAAAAAACAAAACAAAATGAAGAAAACAGAAAAAATTGTATTCAACTTTTAATCTGAGAGTGCCATTTCCGACCACTTAGTGTCATAATCATAATTTGTTTCTTATCCTAACCCCAACCGTTATTGGGCTGAGGTGGATGGACATTCTATTCGCACAAGACCCTCCACGGGTCCCCTCTATTTCGACTTTCTGGATCCGCCACAGTTGGAGTATCATGTCCGGGCTACTATAGAAGGGTATTTTTTTATCCATCGGGGAAAAGTGAAGTTCCGTCGGGGAAAACCCATATCAAAGATACCCCTCATGATAAATAGTTCATTGCGATCGTGAAAGCAATCTCGACTTCGACTTTGTTCGGAAATCAGCGGTGGATTCAAGGGGGTGGGTGGTAGCCCTAAATTGTACATTTTTTTTTTATGGAGATAGACATAAAGAAAATTATGTTCAAATTTTAAGACTGAGAGTTCAATTTCCGGCCATCTAGAGGTGACATCACAAATTTTCTTTCTCAGCTCCAACCATGTTGGGGCTGAAATTGTATGGATCCCCTATTTGCGAAAGTACCCAGTGGCCCGGGCCCTCCGCCCCTAAATTGTTTAATTTTTAAGATAAAAGAATGGAGATATAAAAAAAAATATAAATTGTATAAAACATAAATTTTATGTCTGCAATTTTCTTACCTCAGCCCCAACCATCGTGAAGCTGAGGTAGTATAGATCCTCCATCTGTCAAAGTACCCACCTGGGCCTTCTCTATTTCGAATTCCTGGATCCGCCACTGGAAATTACAACAATTATGAAGTCATATTACAGTAGCTTGATGCCTATAAAATACCTAATAAAATTCACCAAACATATCCACACCCTAATCCGGACAGTCACCAAAATGTAATCATTTCTTCATTGGGTTATATCTAACACTCCCTATTATTTTCAATTATGTCTTTGCAGCCGTTTTTGAGATATTTTGAACACAAGAAAAAAACTGAAACAGCAAAGCGTTACACACACCTACATACACAAACATCACGAAACGAAAATATATATCTCAACTGGCGGAGATGATAATAATACAGTTCGCATTCCAACTAGAGACCGCCTTTGGGACCTAAGAATTTGGGGTGGTCCCGGATTTTGTTTCCACTTAAAAGGTTAGCTTTGTGTTAAAAGATTGAAGATTGTTATTTGGTTCTTTGAGGAAAAAGTGGTCTCGAATTAGAGTGGTCTTGGAATTAGAAGGGTGTGGAATTGGAGAGTGCACTGTAATACATATTAATTAGTTTAGGCACACTAACCGATGTTTACACCATTTTGTTTTACCTCCAAAATAGACCCACAAATACGTCTCCAAGAAATTCGACCTCAGCAGCCCCCGACAGACAGGCTTCTTCAGGGAAGACTTGAAATAAAAGTTAATGATGTGTGGGGAACTGTTTGTGATGATTTCTGGAACGATACCTCGAGTCATGTTGCTTGTCATCAGTTGGGGTTCCCTGCCGCTGTACTCTTCCGCACTGCAGGTGAGAGTAATGCAGGGTCAGGCAGAATAGTGCTGGATGACGTCAGGTGTGATGGGAATGAACGGTATCTTACGTTATGTGATCATAAAGATGAGACCGACTGCAGTCACTTAGAAGACATTACTTTGGTTTGTTCAGCAGGTTAGATGATCCCATTTCAATTAATACACTCACACATTTCTAATTTAATATATAGGCCTATATATATATATATATATATAATATATATATATAGGTCTATGTATATAATATATATATATATATATATATATATATATATATGTCTTGGATGTCTTGGATGGCTATGCTCAATCTTTATAAAACTTTAATTGTATTTGTTTTTGATGATGGAGTAAGAGCAGCTTACTGTTTGGGCTTATGCCTATTACTTACTCCTGGCAAGAATATTGTATGTATACTTTTTACTCTGCCGAATAAATATTATTATTATTATAATATATATATATATATTTATTTATTTAGGTCTGTGTAATATCTGTGTTTACAAAAGTTGCCGCAACCGTGATATTTTGTGGTGTGGACCCCCACACCTCACAAAAATAAATCTCCTCAGCTGCGCTACTGAGAGGAGTAAATTTATTTCATACTCTTCATATATGCGGGTACTAGTAATCGATGTACACAACAAAATAAATTACACTCAGTGACGCCCAGCAGAGATTTTTTTATTAACCTGCGTTCAAGCCGTGACGCTTCAAATTGGCCACCGTATAAACCCCATTGGCTTCTACTCACATAGTGGGCTCCTAGTTTATGCGAAACAGCAACAACGTTAAAAAATAATATTGTACTTCTTGAAGTGAAGCAAACTAATACATTTTTGTTATTTTTCCATAATTTAAATAATATTTTACAGATCCAGTCGCAGGAATTAGTGTACCGAAATGGCAGACAGAACCAATCACGTAAGTTTAGTAATTTATTGTTTGTTATTGTCTTCCCAGCATGATAGCCATTCGTCACACATGTGGACCATAGTTTACCAATAACTTTATGATTTGTGGTGTTACAACTTGCCAATGCTGTAATATACATTTTGTATTTTATTTTCATTAAAAAACATATATTTGCTTAAAAATTAGAAGTAACGAATAAAATATTGAAATGTATTGTTCAAGTTTATTATTTTAACACAGGCAGCATATCTTACAATTAATAACGATTCCTTGGTAATTGCGTTTGTTTATACACTACTTTGGAAATCCATACTTCTGTAGCCATATAAACAAGAGAGTTCTATAGTGGTGTTACCATAATGATTTATCGCTACACAGATATGTTGACCACTTGACCAGTACAACTTAAAGTTTAGTTGCAGTTACACAATTTCTCTGTGTGACTAGTACAATATTTGGATATTAGTACATGACTGGTAAATATTACTCCTGGGTCACTGGAGAGTTAAAATTCTAGAATTCATAATGTATTTTTGTTCTATTATGATTCTTAACAGGTGTAACGATTGGCGTGCTGTTTGTGCTGGTAACTGCTATTCAGGATGTGGATCACCAAGCCTAATAGAAGCAGTTGGAACAGGCAGAAACAATTTCAAAGTTACAATCATCGCCCTCAACTTAAACCATCATCGACAATTTCAACTTGATGGTTTCAATTTGAATTTAATGACAATATATGCTCAAAATGTCATTATAGATAATGGACTTACTTTGACCTATGACCTAACTGTTGTCACCCGCCGACTAGATTTACACAGTGACCACCTTCTAGATAGAACCCCAGAGACGGATTGCTATGGATTTCAATCTATAGTTGTTAACTCAAATAAATATTATTATTTTGTTAAAAACTACAATGGACACACACTTACTGTTTTTGCAGAACTTTTAAGAGTTGATGCAGAAGAATGTATTAATTTGCAGACAGTTGATAACATTGAGTTCCCGGGTTTTACCTCCCGCTTAATTTCAATGTCTGTCGCGTGTGTAGATATCTTAGCAACAGACTTAACGGACACACAGGTTTGTCTTGATTCTGTCATAGTCGACACGGCTCAGTTTGTGTACAGGCAAAGTGCTTTCTCTGCACATGCTACAATGGCTCATGATGTGGAAACAAAGCTTAACCGACAAAAATCTAGTTCAAAATTTGTGCCAACACTTTCCAGTAACACGTACAAAGATATTCTGAACACATATGATGTCGATCTACAAGAAATTAACGATGATATTGAACGACTTGAAGAAAACGAAGAGAATTTGAATAATAAAATCGAATTTTTAGAGTTAATGGAGCAGAAGGCGAAAGATGTACAAGTTGCACGGCGAGTAGCCTATAATACAGGTGTTTTTGAGTTAGAAGTATCAAAACTAACAATGGATGGTATTCGGAAAAAAGTAGGCGAACTCCAGAAAGACTTAAAAAAAGTCCAAAAAAAGTTCGAAAACGACGTCAAAAAGTACAAACGTAAACAGGCAGCGAAATCAATCTTCGGCTTTTTTAAAGCGATTGCTACTATTGTCGTCGGTGTTGTAACGGGAAACCCAGGCCTTATTGTAGCCGGTGTGGCAAGCACACTGAATCAAGTAATTGACTTGGTTATTCTTATTGAAACAATCAATGGTCTAGAGCAGACTATTGATGACGTCATTGACCACCTGAACGGCCGTTACGATATGACAGCTGAACAATTAGAGTATTCAAAAGAAAACATTGTCAAGGTTGCAGAACTACGTTCTAAAATCACAGAGTGGGAAACTTTGGAAAATGTTGCTGAAGGCCTGCTAGGAGTTGGAACTGTCACAGAATTAGCAAGTGCCGGTGAGTATAGGCGAATAGTGACTGACGTCGCTACCTACGGAAAGGCATTGACTGAAGAAGCTGTCAGAAATGCTGAGCTGCTTCTTGAGAAACTAGAAGAAAAGACATGGCTGGACGTCAGTGCCAAAGAAGTAGAGCGTCTTGGTAACATACTGAAAGATAAAGCGACTCTCCAACAGAACTTTCTTCTCGTGCAATCCGAAATCGAGTACCAGAGCTACCTGCTCAAGTATAATCTGATAAACATTATGCATACATACTGCCAGAGTGTTTTTTATTACCAGTTCCATGACTGTTCAACCAGTATCAAACCATCTCTCACCGATTCCTTGTTGTTACTGCGTCATAAGATTTCCAGGGCCAATCGAGAACATATAACAAACATGGAAGACTTCCAATCTGGTAAGCCACAGACGTTTAACATCCCAATCACTCTCGTTGACCATCCAGACTGTAGACGTGGTTCCAGGCATACTACTTTGAAAAATTGTCCAGTGTGGTACTTCAGACAAAACAAGGAGGTGACGGTTAATTTTAATTATATGAACAGTAATTTATCCTTCACAAATTACGATCGTGTCAGAGTTAAGAGTGTACGGGTTTACCTGGATGGTGCAGTAGGAAAACGTGTCAATATTAAAGTTTATACATCGGGGGTATTCATGGATCGTTTCCAAGGAAACTATTATGATTTCGTCGGCCTGCAGTTTCGACAAGCATTCGAATACAAAAATAAAGACAGTGAGTATGCCTGTCCGTTGTTATTGATGTCAAAATCCATTGATACATGAAGTAGTATACCACTGTTAGTTTGGTGGGTAAAAGAACGCATGAATGATATTTCAATATTACAGACTATTTATGCAAATAAAAAATTAAAAAGCCAGCTCTACCAATTAAATTTACTCTTGTAAAGTTTGCATAGATAACGACAGGCCTACATGTAATGTTCATTAATATATTTAATATATTGGATGGATTAATACATAGATATTGCCATAAGGAATATTGAAAGATAATTAATAGATGAGGAGTTCAACCGATATAAACGAGAAAATGATATGTTAACTGACAAATTGGAGCTAACAAAGAAACAATTTTAGATGCCCGGTTTTTTTTTTTACAAAACTTCAAGGTTTTGGTTCTATAAATAATGTATATATTGTTTTTCTTTCAGAAACAATCACTATTAAAGGAGTTCTTGATGACGATCAACAAACGTATTTCCAGATGACCACGCCATTTACAACTTGGACAATATCTGCAACTTCAAGCAGAAACGCAAATTTAGATGTATCGCGCGTGACTTCAATCAGAATTGAAATGACCGGTAGCGCTATTGGGGCGTAAGGGGAACAGTGAATCAGAGTAGCAGATCCAGGGGTTCCGAAATGGGAACTTCCCCTCCCAGGCAGTGCGCAGCTAAACAAACCAAATGTTAAATTATTTAGAAAAGAGAATGGCCAAAACTTTATTGTAAAAAGTCCCGGAACGCACAAAATATAAAGGGCGTAGGCCCACCCCACAGCCATTTGTTATACGCCCTCGAAACATGGGGTTCCCGATTTCCACTCGCCCGAACCCGCTCCCCACCCTCGTCAAAAAATCATGGTTCCGCCACTGTTAATGTTGAATTTGAATTAATATATTATATATAATATAATAGGCCTATATATTAATTCATTTCAATACAATCCCATAGATATCTACATTACTTTTATACTACCGTTTTTATATCTATATGAATTAAATAAGCTATTATTTTGATAATATCAGCAGAAAATGTATAGGCCTACATGGAAATAGTCCTGCCAACTTTAAAGAAAATGTGCATTGAATCCATAATAGGAACTATTAGGCCCTATATAGCATTAAAAGCAATAACAAGTTTTTTAGTTTAACGTAGATAATATAGCGTACCATTAAGAATTACCGAAAGTAAAATCATTTGGGTTATTCTCTTAAGTTCGTGCTTATTCTTCCAGTTGTTCTTTCTAATCACCACTTATCCTTATAAGTCAATACTTTAACAGTAGGCTTGAAGTGTGCGCTTGACATATTTTTTGGCTACTTTTAACTCATCCACGCTTTCTGTGTTGGCAGTTCACTGAATACTACAATTGTTGACATTTTAGTGAACTTTCTATCAGCTTTCTGTGTTGGCAATTCGCTTGAATAACTTAACTTGGACAGGACTTAGAGCATGGCATCATATTTCGTAAACTTACTTTTATAATAATAATAATAATTATTATTATTATTATTACTATTATTATTATTATTATTATTATTGTTATTATTATTATTGTTATTATTATTATTATTATTATTATTATTAGTATTAGTATTATTATTAAAAATGATAGAAAAACTTCTGTGTTTGCAATTTACTTGATTAACTTAACTAGGACAGGACTTAAAGCATGACATCATATTTCGTAAACTTACTTTTAAAATAATAATTATTATTATTATTATTATTATTGTTAATATTATTATTATTATTATTATTATTATTATTATTAATAATAATAGAAAAACTTCCAGTCACTGGAAGTGTTTTATTATTTTTATCATCATTATCCAGTATAAAAATTGAATCCGCCACTGTGTACACTCATAAATTTGAAAAGGTTAAAACAATGATGAATTTCCGACTTGTGTACAGTCGACTTGGGAGAGACTGACTGGGTAAACAATGATTAAAAATAGAGCTTGTACGTCTCCTCCCCAAAGCAGCAACTCATCATTTTAAACATTTTATTTATTAACTGGTACGTCGTTTTAACGTGAAGTACATTCCTATTCAATTTTAACGACCTCAATCCTTTAAGAGATTGGAAACAGTGTAACCATGGGAGTAGATTCTAGGTTTTAGGTCGACAATGAATGTCTAGCTTTCGTCTTCGTAGCTACGCCTTTGTGTACCTCTTGAACTGAGTCCTTTGTTCAAAAGTATTTTCAACTATGTTTCCAAATGTGCTCTGCCAAAGTCTGTTCTTTTTATAAGTCAGACGCAGTCTTCCGACCCTAAGAAATGTTTTTTTGTTTTTTTTTAGTTTGAGGAGCAGGGGTCTAAACGGTGTATGAAGCTTGCTGAGATAGTTAGAGATTGCGGGTTCGATTCCCACCAGATACTTTCCTTTTTTCGTACAACTATAATAAGAAACTTTCGTTGATTAAAGATCATGTTTCTATATTATTTGAGCACTGTATTAATATCTATTTGATTTATACATTATTTGTGTTTCCAGTGCTAAGCAGCTACTTTATATACACTAATTAGACACTTGTGCCGAACATACCCTGAAAAATAAAATTATCGAAAAAGGACACATTGACAAACGCACACACAACAAAAGACAAAAATGTACAGGGGAACAAAATGATGCAACGATAATATAATATGAAGATATTTAAAGAATAAAATGATAATAAGAATCAATATATTGATAAGAAGTGTTTTTTGGCTTTACGAGAGAAAGTTTTCCTTGAGGATGCCGATGTGATTTAAATGGGGAGTTTATTAAACATTTGATACCGCTATAATGTATAGTATGTTGAAGAATGAAGATTATTATTTACAAATTCGTGTTATATGTATGCAAACAAAAGTTTTTGAAAAAGGAACACGAACGAGCGGAAGGGAGAAGAGAGTTGATTGCTTCAAAAATATTGAAGCAATCATAAGGCCGTATTAGTTTATATACTTAAGCTAAAAAAAAAAGAAGAAAGGAATCACACTTGACATCATTAGACTTGTATGACTGTGATCATGTAAAACATTTATCCGATAAATATGGCAACCAAACAACTTTTGATTTATATCCTTCACTTAGGAAAAAATGCCCAATTAAAATTCGAAAATCCAACTTATATGAAATAAAAAATATTCATTCAAATCTTGATTGTGAACATTTTGACGATTAGGGGCCTATGTCTATTTTTGTAATATAGGAACCGAAAATTAAAGAAAACGTAACAGAACGAAACTACCCAAATTTTATTCACACACTAAATTGTACGGTGCTTGTATTTGGCGATATTGAAGAGAATCTGGAATGTATTTCTCAAAATATTAAATTTAAACTTCATTTCATAATTCCGATACTAGGCTAAGAATTGCATCACGTAATCGCAAAATCTCTGTTCCATTGTAAATGAATCATAATGTATGGTGGTTCCAAACGATAGGAAAGTCACAATGACTACCCCATATACAAGGAGAAAACAATACCCGAACAATTATAGACCAATCTTTAATGATATTTCACAATTTATTCACTCCACCTATATCCGTCACTGCAATCTATCATTATTCGTATCATCATCGAGGGAAGTCTCGACAGTGGAGTTTTCCTCAGTCCACTGTTAAACATATCAGTATAGGCCTATACCCTTCTTTTAAACTCTTCCACCTCTTTCTGTCTGATGTTTATCATCACATAATGTTGTGTTCCGGATTGTAAATTTAGGCTAATGTTTTAAAATTCCGAATGAGTCAATTCAATCACTGGTTTTATTTTTGCATTGATTCCAACCACGGAGATATTATAGTAAAAATGCAAGGCCCATACAAGGGCTGAAAACTAGGTCCTATCGCGATAATGTACAAATCAGGCTGACAAAAACTTATAGGTATAGCGCATGCGCAAAATATGGTATATAAGAAGAGTTATGGATTATCACCTCCATGGGATTATTAATGACATTTTGCCAAAGTTACCTACGAAAAAAAACAATTTGCCTGCGGAATAGATTAACAGAGGGGATTTATTTATGTGAGTAACTCGCGAAACTGGTACTGATTTTCGGGGTTTTTTGGTTGTTTTTTCAGCCTATAGAAGTAACGCATTGTGGTCGTGATATATAAAAACCTCAGTGTATGAGATATGAGCACGTTTCTGCCAGCGGTTTCAGAGGAAATAGGCCCGATAAGTGAAATTACGAGGTGGCGATTAGCAGAATTAATATATAGATGACTCAAGTTACTGCCTGACCGTTTTTATATCTCTAATAAAACCAATTTCTTCTCATTTTAATTACATTTTCCTCTGAATTCGTGAAAATGTTTTCTCATAGACCTATGCTAAATACGTGAAAAATTTCAGGTCACGCACTATGGTTTCTGCAAAATGCGTGTTTCTTTTTGTTACTGTTTATGTTTTTGAAGTGGAAGAAAAGGGAGAAAAATGCGTGTTTCAACTAAAATCAATTTGAAATACGGGTACCAACACTTTGGTCATTTAAAGGGAAAGAAACTGAAACAGGCCATATTATATATTTAGCTTTTGTGTTGATAAAAATTATCATCTCTGAAACGTATATATATCTACATTTCTGTCAGTAGGGTAGCTCTCACAGTGAAAACATTGCACATCCGAGGACCCCAATGACGCCACCCCTGATGCAGACTAAAGTTAAGCGAGTCCAAGCTGAAATTATTGGGCCGCAAAATTCACCGGTAAAGCCGTTATATTAGAGAAAGGAGAGTTTGGCTGACAAAAAATATGTCAATAACATATTGATCAGGCTTTCATGCATGATTAGATTATGATCTGTTTTACTGTAGATTTCCATCCATCACAATGATATCGTCGTTTGAGTGACAATTTTTACAACCAAGCATAAGGTCCTAGGCATATATAAATGATTATTAACAAATTATAATGTGTGGTTTTCCTACAGGTAAATACTATCAATCAATCAATCAATCATATTTTATTGTCATTGTTCAGGAGAACATAAAAATTTGTTTTGCTCTGGGGTAAAAACACATTCCAAAAGGCAGAACAAACACAAACAAAGAAACAAAGTGCAAAAGTATGAAACATTTACCTACAATTTAGAGCCCTAATTGCTCTAAGAAAGAAACTATTCCTGAATCTACCCTTAGTGGCTTTCAATGAACGAAAACGTCGACCACTGCGCATCAATTGGAATAGGTTTGAGGCAGGATGAGTTTGGTCGCCCATAATAGCCTCTGCCTTTTTAAGAAGCCGATCATGGAAAAT